CCTTACTTTATTAGTTGCTTATAATTAATGTCACCTAAAATTAACTCTCAATTAAGAAAGTAATTTTATTTGTTTTCAAAATAACATGCACTTCCAGATACCCTTGCCAGTGATAATAAAATCGAGATAAAATGGATAAGTAAAATCAACAATGAGAAACGTGCATTGACCCCTATCAGAGCTTTGATAGCGCCAACATATAAATATGGGGTGACTATGATTTTTGGTTTTTGTGGACAACTGCGATGCGGCTTTATTCGCATGGGATTTGAAAATAAGGCTAGAGGTTAGTGCAGATGCCAAGAGGGGCTGCAAAAGTTTTTTTTTCAAATTAATAACTCTTTAGAAATGATCTCATACTAGCTATCCCCCCGACTTCGTATCCTATTGCTCTCAGTTACATAGCCTACATACAGCCTTCGTCAATAAATGGTTTATTCAACACAAAAACAAATTCGAACCTGTAGTTCCTGAAATTATCGCGTTCAAACATAACTAACTCGTCAGTTTTAGAATATCAAATATAGATTATGGGGAAAAGCCTATATTACTCTTACTTCTAGTAACATTATGTTACAAACGATTAGAGGGTGTAAATAAATGTAGTTAATTAAGTATTTACTGTCATGTTTGTAATAGCTAACTGAAATATGGTCTGTGTATTAAATCTGAAAGTTCATTGCAAATATAGAAAGAAACAACTTAGTATCTATCCAGTCAGTTAAGCGTTATCTCTACAGACACATTAAATTAAACACTTTAACGGCTTACCTGAAATACACTAATTTATTTATTTATAACTAGGACTAGACGTTACGGATGTTATTTAGAAGCCTTCGTTCCATAAGACCATTTTGACTTATAAAACGCGTTTCGAGCCGTAATTTTAAGTTTAAGTTATTTTTACGTACCATCATTTTAAATGAAATTTTAAATTACGTACTTTACTTAAAACACTTAACGGTTTAGTATGATTAACGATGTTTCAACTATGAATCTACGTTTTGGATGTTTTACAGCAAGTGCTTTTTACGGTTTAAAACACTTAATATATTTGGTAAATAATTTTAAGTGAATTTTTTGGGTTTTGCTGCGTCTGCAAATGGAATTTTAACGTCATCTTGTTTGATGAAGAGCTAATCTAGTTTCGAGTACAATTATTCTCTCCAAACGTTTTGGCCGGGCTGAAGTTAGCGCGACCGCCACCTTGCGCATGGTACTGTCAATTTTAACCAAAAAGTCGAATCTCCCTGCACCCGCGCACCCCATTTATCGCAACTGATAGCTGATTTTTGCTTTCTGCGCAACCATTCGCGCTAACTTCAGGCCAGCCAAAAAGCTTGGTGAGCAATGTACCCGTGTGGTCACCGTTCGTCAAATGAGCCGTGCCGCCATAAGCCTGTAACAAATAACAATGCCCTCCCATTGATATCACCATTCAATTCGCTAAACCCCCTTTAATTGGCTGAATGCTTTGTATCCGGCACAAATCGTCTGAATGGAAGCATCATTGAATTTAAATTTATAAACACTTATACCAACAAAGGTTCGATCATGTCTCCGTAAAATTAGAAGCTATTATTTTATTATCTCATTGTACTAACCAATAATGTTTACGACAAAAAATAATGTTTACGACATACTGATTATCAACCGGGCGAAAGAAAGTAGTACACATTTAAATAAGCACTTTTAACAGTTTAAAACGTAAGATATATTGGACTGGTCGAAGAAATTTGCTTAAGATAATTCAATATACCGAATATATTACACTTTGACGGTTTAAAACGCGATATATATATTTTATTATGGCCTAACGTTTCGGATGCTTTGCAGCAAATATGGTCACGGAGAGTCTAGACTCTAGGGCGTTTTAAACCGTTATAATTAAATGTGTACTACTCGCGTAAACTACAGACAGTCTTTAAAATATATTAGTTAACTTTTAGTTAAATCATTGTAACGACGACATTTCGCATGCTTTGCTCTAGTAATGGGTCTACAAAAAAACAGTAAAATCAAATTAAATATAAGTTCACTGTTTTATGTTGCGTTTTACGTTAAAAGTATTTTGTTTCAGTCAGAATTATAAACGGCGTAATTATGTATGATTTTTACATCGGATAATTTTGTTTTTTAAGGTAAAATATTCGTAACCTTGATTGAAGCTTACAAAACAAGCTCGCAATGTATTAGGAAATCATTCGAATAAATCAGTATACAATTCGATATAGTAAAAGACAAACAGTATTGAGTTACCAGTTCCCACGACGCACAAAAATTCAAGGACATAAAAATGAACGCGGCTTTACTCAAAGGTTGATAACTCATCACTCGTTCCACAAAAACTCGGTATAAAGGCATTTAAACTTTTAAATCTTACGCGTGTGCCTTTTGTACTTAGCGTAAAATTATTACAATAAAGAATAATACCGTTTTCCGCGTGGGGCATGGGGCACACATTTCTGTGTCCGTATCACTGATCGGTTCTTATACTGGTAAGTAGTTGATACTTCTGTGCCCTACCTGATTGAAACAGTCTATTGTTGCCCCGGGATTCGAACTTAGGACCTCTCGCGCTCAACGCAATGCTAGGTAACACGTTTAACCCTTTCGCTGCAGTGGCGGGCGAGGTAAATTAAAAATCTACTTAGTTGAAAAAAATTCAATGACACAAATAGTTTGAAGCTGTTACAAGCTCCACCAACTCAACTAAGCTACAGTTATCGTCATATATTTAATTCCCTCAAAATAGGGGGTCTCATCCTACATTTAGTATTATTTAAGTCTAGCTTGGTTTAGTTTTCGCGTCTGTATTGTGTGTATGTTTATGGGAGTCGTACGCATTGAAACATCTCAATATCTTAGGTCATGTGTACTTTAGACGATTTTAAAGGCAAAATAAAGAAGTAAACTTTGTTTTAAATGTATAACACTGCACGTGATTACGACTACTGCAAAGCATCCGAAACGTCGTATAAACAAATTATAAACCAACACTGAGCTATTACACCGCCAACTAAGCTACGATTATAGCCACATATAAAACTTCCTTAAAATAGGCTAGACAGAGGTCTCGTTCTACATTTAGTAATATTTCAACCTAGCTTTAGTTAAGAAAACATTCCGAACACGAAGTAATTTAAAACATTGACACGCCAAAGCACTTACAGGCGGTCAACCGTCTGTAGTGAATCGACGGAAGTAGCTTTGAGATATTTTGAGCATGCGCTGGGTATGATGTGCTATAAAAAACTTACGAATAGTCATTCGTCTTTCATGGTATGTCAGGCATATTATTTGATGAGGGTTAAATAAAAACCTAAAAAGTGTACACATAGTAACTAAATATTATCTATGCAAAAATAAATGCGCAACTCAATCATCTATCTATTTATCTATACTAATATATAAAGCTGAAGAGTTTGTTGGTTTGTTTGAACGCGCTAATCTAAGGAAGTACGGGTTTGAATTGAAAAATTATTTAAAAATCGAAAATAAATTGAAAAAATTTTCGACTCGGGCAGTACTTGAACCGGCATCGTCAGCGTCCCGTGCTGTTGCTCTGTTTAAAAAAAATTTTGTGCTGGTTAGAAAATTTATCGAGGAAGGCTATAAAAAATCGCACTGTGACTAATATAAGCGAAGATACAGCGAGAAATCTGAACGAAATTCATCTATGTGGGTTTCAGAAGCGTACGCTGCGAAAATGGCTCAAGACACCCAAAAAATATGTATGAAAGAATGATTGCTCTTTAAATAATCTAAAAAAATGTCTGGGACACTATATGTCTATCTTTTAAGATTAACTTGCGAAACGACGTGATCTGAACGACGGGTCGCGAGCGTTGGGACGCGACCGATGTCGTGGGCAGCTCAAATTTATAAAGATGTAGAGATTTGCAAAAACAAATTTGGATTCTCATAACAGCTTTTCTACGCGGACGAAGTCGCTGACACAGCTAGTCGTAAAACATTACCTCCATCGGCCACAAAGGAGAAACGGGTGTTACAATTCAACAGACTAAAAACAAAATTTATCTTTTATTAGAAGGTATTTAAAATATAAGACTAAGTCTTAATATATCTTGTTATTTATTCATAAAACAAAAGAATATCCAATTGAAAATTGAAAGAGGTCTTCATATTTTTAATCACATCACGTTAACAAACGGATATCCTTTAGTATTCTGAATATCTTATGTCACGTCTAAATACATCTTTGGTCTACAGTTATAGCGAAATTAAAGTGGCATAAGAGTTAGTAATAGTACAGTAGAACCTTGTCGCATTCGGTACAGGTTAAATAAGTCGAAAGCACAACTTACCTCTTTTCTTATATACGAGGACAACAAATTTTACGATAAAAGAAACAATCTTTTTTTTATCTTCTATATAAAGCGTGAGAGAGTCGGGAGAAAACCAGCCCAACTTCACATAAAATTAAGAATATAATTAAATACTAGCTGTGTCAGCAACTTCGTCCGTGTAGAATAGTTTTCGGTTTCAAAATTTTGTTTTTCGAACCATACTCAACTCATGTTTATAAATTATACCTAGCTGTTGCCCACGACGTCGTTCGCGTCCCATCCTTCTTGCAAGTTATAAGATAGACATATACTGTGGCACTTTTTTAGATCACATAAAGAGGAATCATTCTTTCATACATACTTTTTAGGTATCTAGCTGTTTTGGGCATCAAAATTTGTCTTTGCAAATCTATTCATTGTGAACACAAATTTTGATACCCGAATTAACTATTCTACGCAGACAGAGTCGCTGACAGAGTCTTTTAATAACGGTAGAGGTAAGTTACAATCCTATTTATTTTATTTTTATTTACTTGTTTCTACATATAGTTTTACTACTACCACAATGGGCCTTATCGCTAATTATCATCTCTTCGGATCGAAAAAAACACTTCTAATATCTATTTACTAAACTAATTATTATTTATTAAAAAAAAGAGGATACACGCGTTATTTGAGACCTCTAACAAAATGCATAATAGACACTTCCGGTTGCATTCACAAGCTCAAGGACGCACCCAGTCTACTGTCTCCACCCCACTTCCGTTAAATCAGGATTCAGGGTACATCGATGTTTTACAGCAAAAACACCTAGCAGATGGGTACCCGAATCTGCCATAATGATTTTCTGAGTCATTTGTTTTGAATGAGATTTTGCCAAGCGGTAAGTAAAGTTAAGTAAAATAAAATACTGTCTGTAGTTTACGCGAGTTTTACACATTTAAGTAAAACACTTTAACGGTTTAAAACGCCGTAGGTATATATTAGTTTTTTTTAATTATTTTAACTACGGCCTGACGTCTCGAATGCTTTGCAGCAGCTGTAGTCACTGGGAGACCAAAGATGGGTGTCTCTAATGTCAAAGTAAAAAAAATATATATAATAATTTCCTAAGTTAAACTAATACATATCGGGTTTGAAACCGTTAATATGATATAATTTAATTAAGTACCATAATTTAAAAATCTAAAATAAATTATATAGTGCCTTCATGTGCAATAACATTTGAAAAATATTAATGTTTTCAAACGTTAAGTACCATACTTTAATTTGCTTAAACGCGAAATATATTACGGGTTTTTTAAACTGCTAAAACAGTTTTATTTCTGTAAACTACTGACAATACTTGCTTTAATGTTTATTATCCTTAGTGGTAATAAAATGGTCTTCCGATTTGAGAAAAAAGGAAGCACCTTATCTTAACACAGTAAGGCATAATCTCTGAAATTAGTAGATATTCTTTTTTCCCGAATAACGATCAGGATCAATATATAACTAAGCTACTATAGTAAAATCCCGTTTCCCCCTCGTGGGGCATGAAGCGAACACATTTTTAGTCCGTTTCACTGATCCGTTCTTTAACAGGCAAGTAGTTGATCCGACTTCTGTGCCCTGTCCGACCGAAGCAATATTTTGCTTCCCTGGGATTCGAACCCAGGACCTCTCGCGCTCAACGCAATGCTAAGCAATACGTTTAACCATTTGGCTACAGAGGCGGTCGAGCTAACATAGCTTATTATATTTGTAAGTTTGTAATTGTATCATATAACTTTATTACTGTGTTGTTAAATCAATTAAAAATTTTACCATTCAATAACTTTTATGTTGTCTAGACAATTTAACGGTTTTAACATTAATTTTAAGATACTAATGATATATGTTTTGCTGAAGATAGTTTTTATCGCATTATAAATAATACGACAAAAACTAGCTTGATATTATCAACAAGAATAATCATGGTTGCGTGCGATGCGAAAACGGTTCAAAATATGTATAAAGGGTTTTTTAACTGTTCCTTTTTAACTGTTATAAAATAATCTCCACGATAATATACTATATCTATCTTTAAAAATTAGGTTACAAGAAAAGAGGAGCTTTGCAAAACAAATTTTGACGCCCAAAACAAATATTCTACGTGGACAAAGTCGCATGTACAGCTAGTACGTTTATAAAATGAAATTTGGCTTGTTCCTATATATTTACTACACGTACGGTTAACCATTGCTACTTTACAACGATAAACAGGGGCCCGACTTGGCGAAATTCAGTTCGTGCCCCGTAGTAGCGATACACTATGATCAACTTGTCGCATTAACACTTCACTTTCTCCGCAACCCAGAACCTCGTGCATTTACTCATCTGCCGACAAAGTGCAGGTAATTACAGGGGTTGCATGGGCCCCTCCATCACGACAGTGAAACCTTCCAGACCTCATGATAGATCGCCGATGATGGATGGCTTTCTCGAAAATTGAACGAAAGTGTGTCGTGTGAAAATTCAGTTTTTTACATGGAATTCGCTTGCAGATTTATGATCCGAACATCACGCGTCTACTTTCGTGCACTTTCTTACGTCCTAAGTGTATTCGTACTCGGACAATGACGTTTGTACGAGTATGAATAAGTTGCAGTATTATTACTTACTAGCCGTGTCAGCGACTTCGTAATGCATCGTCAGCATTCAGTACTTCGTCTTTATTTTAACCTGTTTTACCTTTCTCGATAAATATTTTAACCAACACAAAAACATTTTTTTCAATTCGAACCAGTAGTTCCTGAGATTAGCGCGTTCAAACAAACAAACTCTTCAGTTTTATATATTAGTAAAGTATAATATAGTATAGATGAAATATCATTGACATTAAATATATGGACTTCATAGATGGGTAAAATTTCTACTCTTTTGTTTCAAACCCATTTAAAAGCTTACTCACTTAATCCTATTTCTAAGTTTCTGTACAGAGAGCAGTACTTAGTAAAATAATACCCAAAGCTGATAATTACTAATTACATAGTAAAATTACCTTAAATTAATTGCATGCTACCTACCTATTTACTAATTGTGCAACATCGTAAACGGTTAGCAAGCTTCTTTGTTGAACCTATGTTAGGTCAGTTAATATTTACTTAGTAAGAAAGTTATTTAAGAGAAAGTAAATAGATGAATAAAAATAGATAATTGCTCGTAACACATGTTATATAACAATATATTTAAATGTTCAGGACAAAGGTCGGGACGGGACGCAAAATCAAAATATTATTAGTTGGTAGAGGGACTCGTTGCGTTGACAGCGACAGCGGTCGGGGGGCGCTAGCAGCGCAAACCCCTCCACCCGCCGTCTCCCCGCATCACACCCGTACCGGAGCGAGAGGCGAATGCTCGTTCACGATTCTTGCTTGTGTTTTTATAATAACAGCGAGTTTGAATATCAATTCATAAAACAAACAAACAGTTTAACGCGTGTGATAACTCGAATTGTTTCATTAGAGCGAAACTTTACGGTCTCCGACATTTCCGTACGTCAGTGCACGTTACTTGGATACCCAGTGTCTTTTGTCTGTAAGAGTGAATAAAAAAAAAGTTGGTGCTATTTTCGTAGCTGTCAGGTGCGTCCGTGGACCTCAGTGATTAGTGATTGTTGTCGTGGCCGGTTTCCCGTGGAAACTTTCATAACGTGCATATTTCTGTGGGTAATGCTCTCCTAGCGAATGCGGGCCCGAGCTGGACGCATTCCTCGGAGGAGCAAGTGCCGGCAATAAGCATTTTACGGTGAGTGCTTAAGTTCATCGTACTTTGACCCAAAACCTCACCTAGGGTGCATATATCGCGCAGATGCAATGTTAATGGTGTAACGCATTTTGATATGCGTTCATTTATGTAGAACGAGAAAAACTAAGTAACCATATTTCATAAATTTTGATCCAGGACGCCAACAAACAGTGTGCTTAATCTTTTTAAAAATATTCTATGTTGAATCACACAATTTAAAATGCTTAACTTAACGTATGAACATAGTTTATGTTTAAAATTACAAGTATTTAAACAACTTTCATTATGATGTAAGCTTACCAAGAGCATACAATATTAGCTATGGCAGTGTATTTACATAGTGCAAGGAATTCATTAAAAATTAAATAAAATTTAATTTTATGTCTGATTTGATATAATGATAGGGTAAACAGTAAAATTAATAGAATCATTGAGCTAGGCATCTATATAGAGAATTAAATGTGTATGAACATCACTTTTGTACAATATTATGAATGGCTTATGTGTTGTAACATAAATATTTTAATCTATTATTGTATGTCATTAATATGGTATTTAAGGACATCTATGCTATTTATTTATTATCTATACTTATTGTTTATTAAGTAAGCCTACAGCAGAATATTATGTTTATATGTTTTCAAAATAATTTAAACTAAACATAAGCCAATAAAGGATTACATAACTAAGAAAGTCATATTTATATAAAAGAAAAATTCATTTAATATGGAGAATTTATTATAAAAATTCCAAATTATATAATAGTGACTATTTATTACAATTAAAAGTTTATTTATCACAACTTTTACCAACACAAGTTGGTATTGTATGTTAGGTATGTATCGAAGGAAAAATCCACATTCTATGTGTCCATTTTCCATTTGGAACCCAAAAATAGTGAACTTTTTGATTATTTATCACTATTTATTTTGTTTGCCAGACAATAAGAACTTTCTTTTTTACAGGGAAGCAGGAGGGGTGGGTGGCGGGGCTGGCAGCGGTGGGCTGCTGGCCATGAACGCCACCCAGGTCCAGTGCGAGCCACATGACTCCGTCGTACTTATTAAATGTATGTAAATATTCATATTACATTAAGTATATAGGAAGTGTTAGTGTTTACATCTACTTACTAAAAGTTCTAGATACACAATTGAAAAATAATAATGATTTAATGTTTATTAACAAAAAACCTTTTTTTTTATAAATGCTTACTTCTGGTATGGTGCAGGTCCACAGTAAAGTAGGCAGGCTGCAGTAAATAAAATAGCAGTTGAAAACTATTTTGCAGTTGTATAAGCAAATAATCTTATAAGATATAAACATACTTTATTTATACATGTTAAAATATTTAAACCAGTCTCAAACTCAATCTTAAGCTATGATTTTAAAATTAAACTTTGTACTCAACTTAATTATTAAAGTGGGTATTTGTAGCTAAATTTTTTGTTGGAATAATGTGTCTTGAGTTTTTACCTCTATTCAGTATTTGAATAATATTGTGATGTTGAAAATTTTGTATGTAAGTTAAATCTAACTTTTGTGGCGTTAAGTTTTAGATATCAATTTCTATAATAAGCTCCGCTAGACATTTTAATTTTATTTACTTAATTACTATATGAGTCCATAGACTTATTTATAATTGCAATAATATTAAACGCGAGATTTAAACCTGGGCTTATTGATCGTAACTTTGAGCCTAACCAATCTAAATGTTAATAGGTGATAAAGCTTGTTCTTATTTAAAAGATTAGCCCCATTTTAATGCCCCATATAAAAGTGATGGAAAGCACAATTTCACATTCATTTCACGAGGTTTTCCTCTGAGCGGCATACAATGTTTATTTGAACATTGCCAAATATAAAATCTCTTAAAAAACCCTTGGAAATATTAATGGTGTTTATGGCAGACATATTACTGTGTTTCTTTCCCCGATCGATATTGTTTAGAAACAACTATTTTGCAAACTTTTTTTTTGCGTGTTAACCATTTCGCCATTGACGACAAAGTAAAGCTTTGTTTAGCAATGTAAAGCAAAAAATATTTAAAACACGACAAAAAATTTAAATTTTTAGTACAGTTTTAAATGTTTTATTCGCCATTCAACATTCCTAGAATTCGCAAGGTTTAAATGAGTTTGAGAATCGACAAAACGATCACCAGACGAATCCAGACCAAATGAATTTCACGATTGTATTACGATAGCTGTTTCCAGGAATAGTTGGGTTTATATTCGTCCTCGTATGCTCCCCCGTTGCGCCCGCGCAGCCAATTGAGGCGGGAGTCGAGGATATACAATTAACGTTGCTTTTAATTGTTGGGATCGTGTAATACTAGCTGGTTTCCGTGGGTTTGTTACTAAATATTTTATGGCCAAAACATATAATTACAATATTTTTTTAGTTAATATTTCAATCATCTATATGCATATATATAATATAGTAAATTCAATATTATAATAGTACGTATTCGTATATTTAACTAAATTATTAAGAATTGAAAATATATGTATAATGTTGTTAAAGGAGCCAAATTAACACAAATAAAAAAAACAGTTTTATTACCCTTGTGCTTGCTTAGATTATTTACTCTGTAGAAGGGGAAGAGTCGATTAGATATCATAGATATTTATGTTGATATAATTTAGTACGTAAAAGATTACGCGTTCGATTGACGTTTTTATCGGACTGGATATCCCCGTAAAAACTACTCCCATTAGTGATACTTACGTAGAAATAAATACTACAAAAGCATACATTTTTTTCATACTCGAAACACGGTACGGTGTTTTATATTTAACGTACAGATGTGCGTTAGCTATTATTAAATGCGTACAATTTCCTTTCTGTCATAGTTTTGTTGGCGGGCAGATTAATTGGCGGGGTTAGTCAGCACTTATGTTAATCCGGCTTAGTCCAAAACCGACTGTGCATCGTATTGCACGCGATGCATAACCCAAGTGATAGTTTTGTGAGAAAGTTAAATATCGTGTCCTGTGTGCGATGCAGTTTACATTGGTGATAGTCGTAAGCCGAGTTCAGTTATGTCCGCCGAGCGAGGCACCGCTCAAAGTTATAGGTACGTCTCGTCCTATATCCTTTTGTCGTTATGAATCATTTATAAACGGCTTCGTTCATTCATAAATTGATAAGGCCGATGACCAGTGAATACTCTAAATGATGTTTAATGAATGAATGGTTTTGCGTGTGTGTGATTTTTTAATGGCAACTTTTGTAGGGGAGACCGGGGATGGTTGCTGTAGTGGTGGGTTTTACGTTAGTTACGTAACGAGTTACGGCGTCACAGGTGGATTGTATTTTTTTTATTATTAGCTTCTGCATTTATTGTTTCGTTGTCTTGTACATTTTTTTAATATGTGTTTCAATAGAGTGTATGACTGATATTATAATATTGTTTGTTTCATGGGTGCGAATCCCGCGCGTATAATCTATATATTTATTGTTTAGTAAAAGAAAACAAACAGATACATTACACAAGTAGCTAAGGAATAACAATAAAGAATTGGTTAACATGCATCTTTAGCAGTTTTACAAATATTTGAAAAGTTATATATAATAAGGAAAAATAAAAGGTCGATAAAATTTACAGGAATTATATGCATGTGAAAAATAATATTTTTTTTAACTATCTTCAAATAATTTAATAACTACTTAATTATTTTTTATATGTTTTAGTTATTTATCCATCATTTTCTCAATCGAAAGAAAATAATACTTAGATAAGAATATTATTTCTAACTTATTACAATTTCGTAAATAAATCGTTATTAAGTGAGATGGTTATAAAACTATCAAGTAACACATTATGTACCAACTAAACTTATTTCAACCAAATCTATAATATTATGAGTGACGTTCGCCATCTGTACAAACCTAATTGAACAATTTCTATCAACCCATTGCCCTTTACCCTCATTCTAGGCGACCATTGCAGCTGTGGTTACTGCCTGGAGATCATTGTTGAGATGCTGTAGATTAAATTCAATATAGTTTTCGTCCAGTGTCTTAAAGCAAAACCTTTGATTGTATTGTTTTAATCTCATTGCTGTTTGTATGATGGACGTGGCAAAATAGATGATTGATAATTTTTTATTTTTTATATAGGTATTATTTTTCACATAATGAGATGGTAGTATATAAGTTAAAATTATACATTGACTGGAAGCGACATCCACAGCGCTCCGTGCTGTTGCTCTAACCACGACACGGTAGTTCAATTGGTTATAGCGACAGCACGGAACGCTGTGGACGCCGGTTCGAGGCTTATCCGTGTCTTAATTTAAAAAAAATCTATAATAGATTTTTTAATTTATAGGTACTTATTTCTTTTTAAATTGTCAATAAATCTTTTTTTCTAAGTTCTACCTAACCTAGTAGTTCAAGAAATTAGAGAAAAACGTTAAGTATACCTATTACAAATAGTTTTCTGTTTATTTTAAAACTATGGTTTTTTTTAAATTTTGTAATGCTAACATATATACTTAGGCATATATTTTTAACAATTAAAATTACTTAAATATAGGTAACAAACAACACGAAGTCTTTACTTTGCAAGTAAAATTCGTGTGTTAGTCCGTTTTTTCGTAAAATATACCCGAGTTTGGTCTGTTATCTAATAGTTTGCTGTGGCGCTAATTAATAATTATCTATTATAAGTGGAAAGTGAGATGTAATTGCAGCGATTATGAAATCTTACAGAAACCGTAGCACGCGAAGATTAGCTGAAATAACTTTCGCGGCTTAGTGAAAAGATAATATTGGCCTGAATAACTGCCCTACAAACTGCCCAAGGTGATAAGATAAAGTAGATTATTAAACGATTCCTAATACGGATTGAAATCAACACATGTTACCTGCCCATAGAAGTGTTGAATTCAAAATGTTTATATTAAAATTGCATCTGTTTATAAACCTGTTTACAAGTTAAAACTTGAATTCCAAATTTAAATTGAAGGACTGTTTTTTATGACTTGTACCGCAATTGAAACGATCGGTCTTTATTAACTAATGTGTGTCACGTTTCAATCCGTTTAAAGAGTTTTAATTTACGAGTAACGTCTAAGAATCGAACAAAGAAGTTTACATTTAAATAAACCATTTTACAACTTATTTCGAAAAGAAGTTTAACTAATATATCGCGTTTTAAACCGTTAAAGTGTTTTATTTAAATGTGTACTACTTGCGTAAACTATGGACAGATTTACTATTACAAGAAGTTTTCATTATATTGTAGGTACTATTCGCACGAGTGACTAATATGAATGTCAGAGATATATATTTATAATAATTTGTTATGTAGTTATGACCGCCCCTATAGCTAAATGTTTAAACGTGTTGCCTAGTATTGCGGTAAGTGCACGAGGTCCTGGGTTCGGGAAACAATGAATTGTGTCTGTCTGACAGAAGTCTGATCAATTATTTGCCTGTAAATAAAACTATTCAGTGGAACGGACACAGGAATGTGTGTGCCCTACAGGGTGAAACTGTATTTCAAGTTAGGTTTAATTTCACATGGTAGCAGAATAATACGAATACACACATTCATTGTGGTTAGACTGTTTACCGTACAGTTCAAGACGTCATAAATTGCTTTTACGTCAAAAGAACTTTGTACCTAATTATTACTAATTTAACTGCGTTTAATGAGTTCATTTTCAAACAGTGTGACTTTGACAATGTTGTGTGGTTCTAAATTATGTAAGTAAACTTAACTTTGCAATACTTGAGTTACAAATGTTGATTATTATTACTAATAACGCTACTTGGGTTTTGGGTCTGTTCAACCAAAGTTATTTAGATATGGTTCTAGACGTTTCTTCTCTACAAATTTTGTGATATGAAAGTTATGTAGGGATAATAGTATGAAGTAATTAAATAATGTTAACTATTTACTCTGTAAGTCTATGTTAAAAAACTACATCGATTTTTTTATCAATTTAATGGCATTGCCTAAATTCATAGATATACTTTGACATGTGATATTTACTTACCTAGATATTATAATTGACGGGTTCCTTGGTCTAATAGTAGCAGTGTATGGCTAATAAACAA